CTGCTTCAACGGACTGAGGGGTGCCTATGACTTTTGAGTCCTTTTTTTAATTTCCCGACATTCTCAGGCCTTTTACTCTTGCAAGTATCTTGAGCCTTCATCACACTGTTCTTGCGGCCCTAAGTACCGTCTAAACGTTCTGCTATCGTCCTTCATTTCGTTGGATCAGGTTGCGTTCCGAATCCCACCCGTCTATCTGGTTTTTAGTGGGTTGGTCAAAATGCAAACAGCTGTTGCTACAAATGGGGAATTAATGTGCTAGTAGAATCCGTCAGTGCATGGCTTCATCAATGTTCCCTGAAAACAATACAATTTTCCGGCCACCAAGAAATCTGATTCCAGTTGTGGAGTCTACTTCTGCACCGCGAGAACTTCTGTTTAATTCCTTTTTAGTCGGATTTTGTTTGTGCCCGCTGGGACTCCTTATGCCGCCCTTTGTATCTAAGACCTAAATGGGTGTCTTTGAGGCCTAGTATTGCCTTTAAAGAGGAATTAGTTTCAGCATCCGAGAAACGAAATCCCATTTGTTTTTGTTTCCTATAGAGCCCCCTTCAATGATGCATATTTGGACCTTCGAAAACACATTTGGGGGTTGGAAGCCGGACGCCAACAACTGGCGGCAAGACTGGCAAATCACACGGTTGGAAAGTCACCACACAAGTGCTGTTTGTCTCACAGGTGTTCCTGTTCAGGTCGAGGAGGAACTGCCGTGGTTTTCGAGTAAAACGGTGAAAAGAACCCATGATCCAGCTCATGGTAGAATTTGGAGCCCTCTTATTCCCGCGTCAGCTGGGATGCGTTGCCTTACGTTGCTTTATCAGATGGACAAATCCGCTAATTTGTCGCTGCTGCAACGACAAGAAGGGTGTCTGATCTTTTTTTAAATTACTTTGTTTTTTTGGCGTTTGCCTACCTCTTGGTCATGATAAGTGTCTTTGACATGTTCTTCAGGAATTCTGAGAATGTTGTGGGTCTTGTTTCATCCTTTTCTTCGTCACTTATCCGAGCTGTTCTGAATGACTTTTGGTGGCTGGGCACCCGACAGGCAGTCGGCGTGAATTTCGGCATCGGTTTATGCAACTCCATCTGTTTTTTGCGGGCGTTTCAGAAATCTGATGGAGCCGAATACTAAAGGATTCCATAGTTCTAAAGGCGGACGTGGCAGCAACACTATAACGATTATTCGTACGCCCGACCAAGAGATCAATTGACTTAGGTTTCTGCAGGAGTGAAAAATGGCTAGTTTGACCCCCTTCTATGAGTTATTTCGACCGAAACTCTTTCAGCTTTAAGAAGAGTGGCTCTCCCGAAGACCTCCACTGATGGTAGTTATCGGCTCCCACTGCATGGAGAGTCGCTTTCCGGTGTGTTTTGCAAACCGTTTCGGAAGGATTTGGTTAGTGTGTATCTTAGCAGTGGTGCGATTTTTTCGATCTGCGTCTTTTTTTTCTTTGTCTGCTATTGGGTATTTTCGTTTTATTCCCACAGAATCTCCTCCAGAACCATTCCACGTGTGGACTTTCAATGAAAATTCTGGTAGATGGGTCAATGACGCTGCAAATTGGCATCAGAAATGGCAACTTACTGATGGAGCCGTCTGTTTGAAAAATGTGCCCATTGAGTTAGACGAAGGCACCGGTGACATGCCTTGGCTTTCGCTGAACAGCGAAAAGGATGCAGCACCTGTCAAAGGTGCGAAAATTCGTTTCTGGAGTCCCCCGATTCCAGCCGCTGTTGGGATGCGCTGCGTCTCAATGGCCTACCTTGTCGACCTTGATTCTGGGGACCTCGTGGATTATGGTCTCAGCATTTTGCAACACCAGGAAAAGTGATTAGCCGTTGCCTAAATTAGTGCCGATGATGTCGATTTTCATATCTTAATCATGTGTCCTCCAATCATTTCATTTCCGCTTGGCTTCTAAACATTCCATCCCGAGTCATTGCACGCGTGGCATTTCGATGAAAACCATGTTTCTTTGGACTCTGCGTTCTCTCAAGAACACAGCAGGTTGCTGTTACTTCAAGCCTTCGTTGATTTGGACGTGATATTTAAGTTTTTGATCTCAGTTGTCTGGCGCGTAATTTTCCACCATCCAGAGCGCTCGCATTAGCGCATCTCTTGATCTTCGGAATGACCCATTGGTCTTAGAGAGGGTCCTTCGACTGACACTTTCGCCGTTACGTCTTCGCATCTTCAAGATTTGATAACAACACATTTTCTCACATATTCGTTCACTTTTCTCGGCTTTCTACTGTGTTGTCCTTGCTCCTTTTGTCTTATCTTTAAGGACTCCGATGTGGGTTATTAATGCCTGACGATAGTAAAAGTTGAAATCGAAAGCAAGTCCTTAAGGGTACGTAATCGTACCCCTTCTTGCAGTTTTAAAAACGGTCAATTGTTTGTGTACTGTTCTTACAATTCGTAAGTTCCTCCAATTTAAGAACAATCTTCCTGTTTCCTTTCAAGTGCATATCAATCAAGCCGTAAAGCCGTCTTTCTTCCTCAACACCAATATGAGCCCTGTTGGGTTTTTTGATTCCCTATAGATTATTTCGTGTCCTGATCCAGCGTTTCGAGCGGACGATGATTATTTTTTCTGTTCACAATGCCTTACGCCTTTCTAATGGTGGACGGTTTTCTCCATACAGATTCTCCTACACCGTTCCACGTGTGGGACTTCGACAAGGATGTCGGTGGATGGGCGAATGATGCCAATAACTGGAACCTGAAATGGACTGTGGATCGTGCCGACGGTGATGGTTTGATGTGCCTCTTTCGAAAACCTTTAACTCCGTTAAAGACTGAAGTGTCGGATCCTTGGGAGATTGAGGACCATTCACCGAGCCGAGGGGAAGGGGAGGATGTCAAGGCCTGGCTGTGGAGCCGCAAAATCCCAGCCAAATTCGGCATAAGGTGTATCACATTGCTTTTCAAGGTTTCTCTCGGCAGTGACGCATTCATTGGCTCTCAGTCGGATATTGTCTCCGTTGCCATGTTACAACGTCAAGAGGGGTGCATATGGTTCTTTAATCCTTTCTAACTGGTATTATCTTCGATTTGTGTGTGCGTCACACATGGCCCGCTGTCTTAATTCGTCCCTCTGCACTGTCGTCTATTCTCTAGTTATGGGCTTCTGGATTATCCCAAATATGCAGTTTCAAAGTCAACCTCTGTAATTGTGACCATGAATTGATCGTGGAGAAGTCACACGATGTCAACTCCGTGTCTATCGAAAGCAATCCGTGCCTGTTTATTTCTGAAATCTCCCTCTTGGGCAACTGAGGAACGTCGAGGTTAAAAACGATCTATCAGTGTCAATTGTAAAGGTCAACTTTGGAGTCGCAATATTTGAATTGAAATGCTTCGCCTTGGGTTGCGAGCCGATGCACAACGCAGTTCCGATATTTTTTAAAAACGGGGCAGATGAAGATGGATGGATAGGTGCTTCAGAAATCCAGTTTATAAGAATGGTCATCAAATCACTTTCTATGTAGAGTTCTGCTGCAACTAAGTTATCTCATAATTGTCGGCAGCTGAGGCGGTAATGCCTCTTATTTGAGACTTCTAACGGCGGTCATTTTTCTGTGTATGTAGAACTTCCTAGTCCGTTTCACGTGTGGGACTTCGAAAACGGCTTTGATGGATGGGTAAACGATCTCAATAATTGGGACCAGAAGTGGATTACTGAGAAGTCTGATGGTGGCAGTTCGGTCTGTCTTTTTCCGAAAGCTTCGACTCACGTGAAATCGGAAGATGTGGATCCTTGGGCGATTGGGGAAGAGAACGATGAGCAGTTGATCTCAGTCGATGTCAAAGCTCGACTCTGGAGCCGCAAAATTCCTTCAAAGCTCTCAATGCAGTGCATCACCCTGTTCTACACAATGTCTCTCGGAGGAGCCCAAATAACTGATTTACGATCAGAGGCCGTCACTCTCGCTCTGTTGCAACGCAGTGAAGGGTGTTGTTTCCAAGTTTTTGTGGACATTGTTCCCTCTGGTCACAAATTTTTTTTCAAAATTGCTCTAAGTCAGATGACTGTCACGTGTGTTTTCTTGAGATGACCGGTATCTTTATTGAAACAATTTAGCCCAGTTGTAATGGTCGCGCTCTGTAAAAAGTAAGCCATTAACCTGGTGGAGGGTCAGGGCAAATCTATGAATAGGCTAACCGCGCAACATGTGGAACTCCCTTTCGATAAATCTTGACCTTACCGGATTCCGAAGGTTTGGTTAACTGGGCAATCTATGAAGAACCGGGAAGCCTTAATGGACGACGCTGATAACAAGGTCTTCCGTTGGACTTAAAAACATGTCGCAATCTGGAATCACACCTGCGTGCGGAAATCATCATGATGAGGTATAAGTGCCACATACCTTAAGCCAGATACGCTCCATCACTCTTGCATCATAGAGGAGGTCTGGCTTGGCTTGGGATAGATCTTCATCGATCTCCGGGCATCCCGCTGATACCCTAACACCAAACCTTTTCTTGTGTAGACCCACCAACGCCGTTTCATGTGTGGACTTTTGATCGGGGATTCAGTGGATGGACAAATGATGGCAATAATTGGGATCAAAAGTGGCATGTTGACACGTCGATTCCTTCACAAGGTGGTATCGTTTGTTTACTAAGAAAGTCCATGGCCGTAACGGACCAAGATGAACTTGCACCCTGGATAGGCGAGGAAGGTCCTGCCGTCGAGGCTGATGTTCAGGCGCGTTTGTGGAGTCCAAGGATTCCGACGAGCGTCCGTATGCGTTGTCTCACCATGAAGTATCGTATTTCACTTGGACAACCTATCGACAGTGAATCATCAAGAAACTCGGCCTCTCTTGCATTAATGCAACGTCAAGAAGGGTGCATATTTGTTTTAATGCCTCTGCGTCTGTTTGAGATTTTAGGTCTTGCGTACAGCGGCCAGATTGATTTCCTCAAAACTGATTTAATATTTGTGAATAGTCATCTCGAGTCCAGTGCATTCTCAGCTATTCCATATGAAGTCCGATTTCGAGTTCTCGCCGCCACATTATTCCACTTTGGTCTTAAAATTTCCTTTCCGGTTTTTTAAAGAGATTCGTGGACACCGCTGATGAAACTCCCGCTCTCACCAATCCTTAAGTGAGGCTCAGCAGTCTTATTCCTGGCTAAGCGTCACTGGGGAGAAATTTAGCCTGTGTTCCAATTTCTCTTTCGAACAAGCCAGTCTTCCATTATCTGAGAGGCCCTCTTCCCCCACCTCTTCACGTCTCGTCGGACAAAACTCTAATAGTTAGCACGAACAATCGGGTGGCTGAGATGGAGTGTGTATCGCATCCCTGGTAATCTGCAGTGCCGTCTTTGGGCTAAGAAGTCGCGTCTCGATCACGCTTCTTTGTTCATTTAAGGACGTTGGAATCTCTTGGTGGTTACCCAAGGCGTCTTGTGCATGGTCTTAAAGCCTCCAAACGACGGTTAAGCTGTTTGGTCTGTATCATTCATGGATTCCCGTTTTTTCAGTTGAGTTTCGTCTGATCTTCGAGTTTCTTCTTATTTGGACCCCTCCGGCTTGGGTTCCCAATTTTCCCCTGCCTATTCGACTAATGAAAAGTTCATTGACTGGGCGATTCGCGCAACTTATACCCCAAATTGACTCCTGATGCTTCTCACTGGATGTAATGTTAATCCCCGACTTCTCATCAGCCCGAGGCATTCACGCCTTCGTGCTCATGTACCGGTACAAGGCTTGAAGCATGTTACTTAGAGCTCTTACTGCGAGTGTATTCGAAATCAATCAATTCATCTCCCCTGGTCAAAACGTATTTCTGCCCATCCAAAAGAGTGGTTTTGGTCTGCTTAATAGTTTTTAATTGCTTAATTCATAGATCCCGTGTTCCGGTTGTAAATTGACATCGGCCTTTTTACTATATAGGACCTTCTTCTGCGCCCTTCCATGTTTGGTCTTTTCACGAGGATTTGGCTGATTGGAACAACGACTACAATAATTGGCGTCGAAAGTGGGACGTTATTTCCATTGATGGAACCAGTCAGCACAGATCGGTGTGCCTCCTGGCAAAAGCACCTTTGCAGCTAGAGTCCACGAAATCCAAAACACCCTGGCTGGTCACGAATAGCTTCGATGACCCGTTGTACATAAAGGCCCGTCTTTGGAGTCCACAAATTCCTGTCAAGTTGGGCATGAAGTGCCTAACTGTCTTTTATACGATTGTATCAGGCGGTGGGGACGAGTCATCTTTTGACGCCAATCTGACCTTGTTGCAGCGCCAAGAAGGGTGCTTATAACCCTTTACCCTTTCAATGAGTTGCTTCTGTATCCTTTTATCTATCATTTTCCTATAGATACACCGACTCCGTTCTATACGTGGTTGTTCGATGGGAGCCTGGAAGATTGGTCAAATGATTTGAATAATCGGCACCAGAAGTGGAATGCTATTTCCGTGGCTGGCAAAAAAGCATTGTGTCTTATGGCAAGGGCTCCTCCCGCACCAGCTTCTCATGATACAAGAAAGGCTCCGTGGCTAGTTGATGAAACCACAAAGTCAGTTTCAACCGACGTGCAAGCTCGTCTCTGGAGCTCTGAGATACCCGCCAAACTTGAACTGAAATGCCTTGTCCTGTGGTACAGCATTTTCATGGGTTTAGCAAGAGGAGGACCCTCTTTAGCCCAAGGAAGACTTGCCTTATTACAGCGCCAAGAAGGGTGCCACTTTCAGTTCGTTTTTAAACAGCTGAGGCGGGCGTTTACATGCGGTTTTTTTGGACAGACTGTTTATGACTGTTGGGTACTTTCTGTGTAGACCATCCACATCAACTGCATATTTGGACTTTCGATGACGACTTGGCTGACTGGAACAATGATTTCACCAGTTTGCATCACAAATGGACAGTGGAGCGGGGTCAGCTTTGTCTTCGGTCCAAGCAAACTACGTTTTCACCCACGAAAAATAAATCGCCCTGGTCGACGCTCACGATCAAAAAGCAGTCCGACGCACAAGTTGATGTCCACGCTCGTCTTTGGAGTGGTCTTATTCCATTCGAAATTGGATTGCGCTGCCTCACAATGTCCTATTCACTTGCCCCAGGAACCGGATTAAAGCCATATGACGCGGGATCGACGAAATTGACTTTATTTCAGCGCCACGAAGGGTTAATATTCCTTCCGCATGATTCACAAGTTCCCTTTTCTTTCATTCTGCTTTAGCCTGTTGGAATATTCTTGCGTGTCCTCGCAGTCCGCTGCCAATCAGTAAACACCTATTCATACCACTGTCGCTAGGGTTGCCCTACCATTCCCTGAGTGCTATAATTCGGTAGATGCAGTTCCGTCGACCCTCCATATCAGAGTTGTATATTTCACTTACTGATGTCAACCCTTTTTCGTGTCTGCTCTAGAGCCACCAAGGCCATTCTACGTCTGGCGATTCGATGAAGACCTTTGTGAATGGACCAACAGCGAAAGCAATTGGCGACAAAAGTGGCGCATCGATAAGTCCGCTGTTTGTCTTCACGCCAGAAGGAAGGCAGGTAGCGAGTTCCAGTCGTCATGGCTTTCGGGGAAATTTCAGCACAGCCCCAACTCTGCCTCAGTTGACATCCAGGCGCGATTGTGGAGTCCACTGATTCCTTCTGCTATTGGTATTCGCTGCATCACCTTCGAGTACTCTCTGCAGTTCTTCCAAACTCCAGCATTTCTGAGTTCTCTCAGCCTTGCCCTCTTACAGCGCAAAGAAGGGTGCCAAGTCCTGTTCTTTTGAAGCAACGTTTTTGACTTGGGGATTTTTACTTTGTCTGTCCTTGTTTTTGAATTCAGGTAGCATCTTCCGGGGTCATGTAGCATTACTTCGCGACCACATACATGCCAAATGGATAAACATAAGCCAAATGAATTAAAATGCTACTTAGGGTTTTCTGGATCCCAGCAGACGTGGGTCTCTGTCTTAGCGTGAAAAAAATATGTCCTAGCATTTGTTGCTCCGAGTTCTCCACGTCCGTAACTGCCAAAACCCCTTCTTCTATGGAAATTCTACTGCGGCCTCAAGGACTGAATGAACAGCCAAAGCTAGATCTTCTTGTCAGTGTGGAGAGCCCCACACTAAGTTGCCTACCGCTTCTGTTCTCGTGCGCTCCTGTGGAGCTTGGCTAATCTTAATCATGTTATACACGATCTGTTCCTCTTCTACATGCACGTTTACCCTTTCGGCCATTTCCAGCGCTATGATTAGTAATTCTTTCATTACTACATTTGCTGTTAAGATTTCGGGGAGTCCTCGTTTTTGAATTTTTGTTTCGTAACTTTTCAATGGCAGCATATATGATATTTATTGCGGATTCTAAGTTTTTTTCCGATTCGTTGTCGGGGCATTACATCTATTACTCTTGGTGCCGAAAGAGTGATTTCTGGGGCTGCAGCAGTGTCCTGATTAGCGCTGTAATTTAATGAGATTTGGTCTAAAACGCCTTCACATTTTTTTCTATGGCTGTAATTATTTTCGCGTGACCGGGCACAAGAAAGGAAAGGCAACGTCAGCAACACGCGACTTCACGCGAGACAGTCACCCGCTAACCACTGATTTGTCAGTGGACGAACCAATCATAGCGCAAGCCAGTGCCTCACGCGCGCATCTGTAAAGTCCACCGCCTTCCACAGTCTGTCCATGCGGTGTATGTGTCAACATCACGTGGCCTGTTGTCGCATGCGCGTCACACGCCCATGCACGCGTGTCCTAAGCCGGTCGTGGCAACACTTAAACTGGCCTAAGTGAAAGGTCGAGACCTCAACCCGCCAGAGCTGCGTGCACGGGAATTCGCCTGCAGTCGATTACAAAGGCAGTTGTTCTTGGACATTCGGTGCTAAAACATGTGATCCGCATGGAGTCCAAGAGTAAACGTTTGCACATTTAATTTCCCCGTCGTGTCATTGGGTGCGTGCGCCTGTACGTCCCGTTAACTATCTATGACCATAGAGGGTTAATTATTTCTGCGAGATTTTTTGCATAGTAACATGACATGATGCTATACACCCCCTAAACCTTTTCACATTCTTGCACGGAGGCTGAGGCGGCTGGGCTCTTTTTGAGTGCGGTTGTAGTGACAACAATCAGTGTCTGTCTTTCCATCGTAGGTCAAACGCACCTCAATTGTACCTTTGAAGCTGGGAGTCTTTGTGGATGGACGAATGATGCCAATAATTGGCTGGCTTCATGGCAAATCATTGTAAAAGTTGGATCGTCTCTCTGTTTGAAGCCCCATCGATCCGGCTCAGCACCACAGATGGACTTATCCGGTCGACTCTACAGCCCTCTTTTGAGCGGTCATGATGGGATTTCATGTCTAAAATTAAGCTATAGCATCAGTGGTAAACACTTAAAGGGAAGGGATCCGACACTTTCCATTATGCAGCGTCTAATGGGGTGAGACTGTGTTTCCATCTGGTTTTTCATCTTTTGGCTGATGGCGGCTTGGCAATAGTGGTTTTCTTGGCCTTTCGAATCCTCTCATTTTCCCTGTTTTATCCTTTCCCAGTTCATTCACCCTTCTTCTCATGTGACTTCGAGTTGCCTGGCGTTCAATCTCTTTGTGAATGGAAGGAAGACCCAAGAGATAATGGTGCTTCTTGGAGTGTTCAGTGGAATACAGAGCGCCACACCAATACGCTGTGTTTAATTCCGGCTCAAACACTAAACGACGATGATGAATTCGGCCCAGACTTTGATACATCCACTCCTCGTGCAAGACTCTGGAGTCCGAGATTTCGTGAAACACACGGAGAAACGGCTCCGCGGTGTATCAAGTTTTCGTTCATGTTTGACGGGCAGACTGACGAGTCTTTTCTGCTGAGTTTAATGCGCCACTCGGCTGGGTAAGACGTCTTCAAGGCTATCTAGTAGTAGGATTTTGGGTTTTACACTCTAACCTCCATTTCTTTGTGGGATGTCTTCGTTGCATTCTCATCTGCACCATGTCATGTATGATCTTCAACCGGGACACACGACAAGTATAGTGATCAATAACCTTGAGGTGTGATATTTTGGATGAAATACTGAAAGTCTGAACGGACAATTGGAGTCAGAGCACGAGTATGCTTCGGATTTTGTAACATCTCGCAGTTGTTTTAACATCAACATGTCGGCTACTGGACCCTGGAGGACATTCTCCACTCTCGTAGTGCACTCCCTTCGAATGACGTCAAATTCTTGGACATTTCGGTATACACACAACAAATTAAGTTATCTGTCTGTTCCTTTTTGGTTCCTTGTGTGGCTTGAATACTGCCTCGGATCTCGACTTCATCAGCGTGGATTCGACCTGTCGTCATCTATGTTCGTGTTTCGTTACTTTGTTGTTCTCGGTTTCGTTTTCGTTGGATTGCCAGTGTAATGTCATAAGTGGACTCTCCTCTGTCTAATTAGTCTTTTTTCTCTTTTCGAGCCTTCTTCTGACTGCTAAGGTGGTTAATTTAAAACCATCTTGACAGAAGTGTGTAGTTGATTTGGTCCTTCCGATTTCGAGTCGTCCTTGGAACATCCCAATTCAGACAAACTTTGCTATCGAGCTTCCAGCTTTGCTTTTCTAGATCTTTGGAGATCAAGTTATCGGAATTTCACTGCATAGGCCATCGAAGCGAATACCGGCCACAATTTACCATAGGCGTTGGTCAATACTGTCGTGGATAAAGTATCGATTCATGCTGCAAATTTGGACGGATATCGGGCAGCCATATTGATCTCTTACGGTCTCGCCACCACATCGGTAAAGTACCGGGGAGTCGAGAGGCCTTAGACGTTGGCTTGACTTTTCGCCTTCGAATCTGCACGTCGACATGCACATGGACTCAAGGCGAGGTCAACTGGGATTGTCGCTATCAAGAGACGGCAGCTGTCAAGTGTGCGCACACCGATTGGGAGCACTTGACCTAGAATGAAGTTTAGATACTATAAACCCGTTAAGCAAGTGTCGTGTTTCGAAGTTTTGCCCATTCACACTCAAGATTGACGTTTCCAGGCCTTGTTGGAGCTGTCTAGAGTGTTGAGAACGTCGGCGTTCGCTTTGGGTTTGCGGGATTTAAGCATATCAGGTGAATTTTTGAAATGAAGCACTTTACCGTTGGAATACCGAGAACATCTCATGAAAACCGATCACACTGGTCTCCATAAGACTTGTTCAGCACTGGTGCAAGCCCGCATTGTTGTGTTTATTTAGACTTACATGGCGATTCGTCACTTTCCATCCGACCAAAGTGTCCGAGCCATTTAGAACAAATGCTGGTTTCTTTTTACTAATTTATATCTCCTTTGGAGCAAAATCCTCATGCATTCATTCTGGACCATTGAAGTAATGGAAGTAGCTAGAGGCGGCTGACATTTATATCCCAACACGTAGCGATGCTGTTATCCATGTCTGCTCTTTCTCTGATACAGCAGTACCTCTTGCGGAATCGATCCTGGACTGTCAATTCGAGACTCCCTGCAACTGGATGCCTGACCCCCGAGATAGCGCGGCCAAATGGCAGATTGAAAATGGGTCTATGTGTCTGCGAGCCACTCCCCAGCCCCACTTAGAATCATTTTTTTCCGAAGCTGGGTTTAACAGCGATGATAGTCGAGCACGACTATGGAGTGCCAGTGTTCGTTCTTTCGGTTATCAAGATTTGAGGTGTTTGAGTTTCTTCTACGCATTCTTTGCGACGTCGCGGGAGAAGACCACACTTTCTTTACTGCATCACTCGTCGGGGTGAGATGGGCCTAAAATGCTGTCTGTAGAGTAGGCGCACGACTAAAATAACGTTTTGACGTGCATTGGTGAGATGCACACATGACCGTTAGGAGACTCATGTTTGATTTTTGCTTTCATCTTTGATACAAACTAAGTAATCTCTTTATGCGTCATACTATTTGTTAAAATTTCATCCTTCCCTTCGATTTCCATTTCGTCTTTCCTCTTGGTGTGCTTGTCCCAGAGTGAAAATGTTTGTCGTTTACTTTCTCACTTGTGCCTGTCGTGACTGATGCTACCTTCTGACCCACAGACCCTGAGTTTAGCTGCTTGTCTTGTAGGGCCAGGCAGGTTAAGTAGGCTTAAATCCCGTCTTGTCTTTCTTGTTTGCGTGCTGACTGGTTGCTACTTCGTTCGTCTGAATTAGGCGGGAAGGGGGCATTAGGTTCCATTCAGGCTGGCGGGAGGTGTGTTCAAACTCGATTTCTGAGTTTATTAAGTGGGGGGAGGTGGCGGGTGTGGGAAGTCACTAACCGGATACAGTGGAACTCGGTTGAGCAAAATTCACACGCTCTTAGATGTCGTAAATGGTCATGTTGTGTTTTGCAGCAAGCGATTGTCTTGTCGTATTGTAGCACGTTAAATCAAGCTAATATTGATCTCTGGGATCCCATAGGATGCCATTTTTTGATTTTCGATAGGTTTTCCACTTGATGTTGGCATTAAGAGTGACAATTTTTATCGTAAGTATTACACACACCAAAACCAGTCGCTTTTTGTCCCTTTAAATTCCCCAATTAGACAGGTAGTAGTGTAGTAACGTGCGTTCGATGCTTTTAGAAGTCTACATCTACACGAGGCTTAACTCCTGAGCGAAGTCTACATGAAAGTGTAGCAAATCTCTTCGCTTAATTAATGAGGCAGATCTTTACATGAATTCGAATATCACGGATTCCTCTTTTGTGTGTTACGGTATAATTCATCTTGATCCTTATTACATGCTACTGAAGTCGAATTTCTTCATTAAAAGACGTCGTGGTATTGAACACAAGCTGTCGGGCTTGTATTTCCAGCGCAAAGGGCTAAAATTGATCTGGACCACACCTTTGAAGGAAACGTTGCGGTAATTTTTTCACCATCATGCTGACAGGTCACGACCGCATGAGGCCAAATGACGGTGCTAAACGTCAGTCATTTTAAATGGTTTCACGCCTTGGATCTGTTCATGTGTGAATCGCCGTTGTTATCCGCATTCACGATATGAAGCCTGCCAATTTTTTTGCTATCGCATTTTTCGTTTTGTTAATTAGATGAAAAATGTGTGTAGATCTTGCACTTCTCTTCGCCTTCTCTCATTCTCACTTCCTTCCTCATTTTGTGTTTTGAAAGCAATCCTCAACTTCACCTGTGACCTCCCAATCTCAGTTAAACGTACATCTGAGTAGAAGCACATGCTAGGTGAATTTGCACCAAGTCTGGCCAACTTAGCTTCAGCTAGGTTTCACATGTCTTGTTGGAGTGTGGCACCTTGTTAGGTGGGTTCATGCTTTCTTGGTCAGAACAGATCCTTTAAATGACTACTTTAAGTCAAGTGGTCAAAGGTCTCGTGCAGGGAACTTCACACTTGCACCGAAGCTCTCTGTTTATTGCGCAAGTTCTAATAAAGCAAAAATACCATGAGGTGTCCGTACGTAATTTATTCTCAAAATCCAGTCATCATTTGGCCTCTTTTGTAATGAAGGGGCAGCAATTTCATCAAAGAAAACAGCGCGAGAGATTAGATCTTCTTAGTGTCACTGATAAAGTTAGTCTTGTCAAACGAGGCACCATGTAAGTCTATAAATTTCGTACTAAAAGAACTGGCCATAGGCTAGAGTATCCGTGTCAATGCCACAATGCATTCCCTTTCCTGATTGGTTAACTTAGGCGTCTTAAGAATTTGTTCTGCCCTTGAATTGACCTACAGAACAGGTCCCCATCTGCACAACTGCAACTTGGTGTGATGTAGCGGCTGTCCGGACTACCGTGTTTTCTATCCCATCACAATCGGCCGATATGAGTTGACACTATGGCCCGTTTTAATGCGATGTAAATTCACCTCGCACAAAATTCGACCCATGTAGATAGTGTTTTGGTCGGCATTATTATTTACCACTTGCTGGATAACTAAGTTGAGATTGTGCTATTAGTGGAAATGTTTTGTATTATCATGTGAATAAAAATGCTCCCAGATCTACTTCTTGCGCCAATGAGCTCCTCTGGAAGGCTCCAATTGGATTCTTTCTTGTATCACTACCCGTATAATGTTTCTGCTTTGAGATCTTACTGGGTACGTTTTCAACTTATGGTTGAGCTTGGATCGCATCGTCAGTTCCCTTGTTGACTTGTGCTGTCCTCGTTTTCTTTTTACTAATGACATAGACAATGCGTTGGAGGTTTTATATACCTCTATTTTAGTATCTTTCCAGCACGGGTTCTCTCGTGCGCTAAAAGTGACCTACCTAAGCCACACAAAAATCCCATTCAGGTGTTATTTTTTCTGTTTTTGTCTTAGAAATGAATTTGTGAAAGAAAATCCCTTTGAATGTGCCTGCTTATACAGACGAACTGTATTGCCGTTTTACAGCTATTCAGGTCGACTTTGTCATGGCCCTTAGTATTTCTTGGTCTATAAAGGCAGCCACGTGATATTGTCCTGCATAACGCTAATACGCATCCTCACTTCCGTCAATATGGCGTCAGCAAGTCAACCGGTCCTTGAGGCCGTAATCCGTATCCCAATTTTGCCTAACACTTTCCATTCTATTAATCTGTCTTCGCTGTCTTATTCGTTGGTGCTTCCTTCCACTGGGCTCCACTCTCTGTCACTAGATAATTGACCCAATTTCGAAAAGGACATATTCAAATATGGTAGGGTGGTTTTTGTTTGAGACACCTCGTAGTTATCCTCATCAGCCTTGGTCATCTCACAGGCGTCGTCTTATTCTCAGGTAAAGACATGCATTCTCTCACTATCGTGTTTCAGTTTGGATGCAGAGCTCTCTGCTCTACTCATAAATTGACCTTACAATTTTTTTAAATAGTGATCATTATGTTTTGTGGTACAACAATGATTCTTCGTAAGTGCCACTAGACAATTGGAAACAGTGTAGGCTTTCTTGCTTCGACCTCCCCGCACCTTTCTTCTTCCCCATTCATCTGAATTCTTCCAGGTGCTATAATGCACCTCCAGCACACAGTTGGCGTCCGGAAGGTGGTCGTTTTTAGTGCAAATATAGTGCGCCTAATTTTGATGTAGTGAATCCAAATCTACATTACTGCGGGTCCCCTTAGTAAATCACATAATGCTCGTTAGAATTGCAATTGACGCCTTTGAGATATCCAGTGGTGAGTAGGCAAAGAAAGAGTGATCTCCCTTCCTTCCTCCGCACTCTACTCTCTTTTCTCATGTTCTTGTGGCTTCCCTAAAGTGTCTCTGCTTGTTCTAGCGTCTGCGAAAAGGTTATTGAAGCAAATACTGGAAGAGAGTTTCAATTTTGGTAAGATGGGTGAAAGCTTATTAGTCAACCACATTTAGCGAACCGAAGGTGATATGGAACGCCTCAGTCCACAAAGTAGGCGGTTGGCAGTTAGGATATGTAAATCTTGGAAACCACAGTGCTTTTCGTGATTTCAAGGTTAGCTTTCTTGTAAATTTTACTAATTTCAGCCTCGGAGAAATTGTCAGTTGTGCTGCAAAAGAAATGTTTAAACCTGCAACAGACGTACAGTTTTCCTACATCGCCTTCCAGCGAACCACCCTGGCCTTCTAATGCTCATTCTATTCAGTCCATTAAACCCAAAATGTGTGTTAGTCCCGTATGGGTGGGTATCGTGTGAAAACATAACATCCAAAAATCAAGTCTGACGAGGTGGATTACAAAGTATTGGTATGTAAGTTATGTTGTCCAGTTATTAGAAGCTAAATTTTAATAGGCTTGTTTCAGTGCACATGCCCGAGTGCTGTGATCTACCCGACGCAGATTACCTCCAAAATCTCGATTGCTTAGACTGCTCTTTTTCCTGATAACCTGAAATTAACTAATCCATCCACAGAACTGAACAATTCGCCACTAATTTAATAAATTTTTGAGGAAGAACATAAAAAGCATTAGATACTGTAGTTATGGTTCAAGTAGGTGTCTGGGTTTTCAATTGCCCACGGCCCCTTTTGAACCAAGCCTGCACCAATGCTCACGCAAGAGCAGTGTTCTCTAAGGTACTTTGTTCCTGATGAATTCCACATCCTTACTGTGATTTAGCCTCTGGAAGTTAGCGTATTTCTTTCATAAATGTCGTTTTTCAAAGTGCCGCAAATTAGCACTCGAGTGGTGCACCAGTTTCCCTGAGAGACTTGTTCGTCTGCTATTTCTTCAGTCGTCATTCCTTTGGTCTTTCCGTTTTTTCTGTCGATTTTCTTCTTCTAGACTTCTATCTCAATTTTACTCTCTTTAGTGCATGTGAAGAGATGATTGATTCAAGGTCTGGGCGACCCTTCCGTGTATGGTAAGAGAACCTACAAAAAGATTACTGATTTACTCAAAATTCTAGTGAACCCTCTCCCCTATGGAACTCCGAAATTATTGAGGAAAGTTCCTCTTGGCTGAAGGCGTCCATTAATTTGCAGCATAGGGACGGCGGTGATTTCAAGGTTGGTGGTGTCTGACATCATTCTTACGTCTTCCTTCCCTTCTTCAAACCACTTTTCCTTCTCTGCAAAACCGCCCGCTTTTCCCTCAATAGTTTATTCTTTTAGTGCCTGTGAAGATATAATTGATTCGAAAACCGGTCGTCCTTTCCGAGTCTGGTAAGGCCTCTTCACGACTAATCGTTTACAGTGAACCGAAGTCATTGTGGAGTGCCTTAGCGCCTTCAGCAGTTCAGTCCTGGCAAAGTGCCACTGTCGACTTAATGAATGAATCGGTGGATGATTTTAAGGTTAGTGTGGCCATGTTTTCGATGGCGTTCCAGGCTGAATGTCCCTAAGCGTCAAAGTGGACGCAGCGATCCTGAAACACGTTTGCGCGGTCTTAGCTTTTGCGATTCCGACACGATTGATTGGTGACTTCTAGTGGCATCTTTCCTTCTTTTTATTGCTTTTAATCTCTTTCCATACTCGTTACTCCATTCTACTTTCACTCTTGCCCTTATAGCAACTGTCAGAACATCTTAGACGCTAGAACTGGCCAGGAATTTCGTGTTTGGTAAGATGAGGTTTTGTTAATACAACACCTTCATCTAGTCAACCCGTCTCTTTATGGAATTCTTCAAAATCAACATGCTCTCTATCGGGTTGGTGTGCGGCGTCAATTAGCCTCAAGGCTGATTCGTTGGATGATTTTAAGGTACTTTCGGTTATAAGTCATAAGTTCGGCTCGGCCCACCTCTGGCTTCTGCGTCTATTTTTTCGGCACTCTGGTCCTTTAAAAGCGGTTTGATTGGTTTACTAGCCAGTCGTCCCCGGCAACGTCCGTTCGGATGGCGGTTCGCTGGTCTTGTGTCTTTCCTTTCCCTATTTCCTTCTTCTTTTTTCACTTTTTTATTACCAAATTGATCTAACCCACGCATTTCCATGCAGAAACTGTCGTGAAATGCTGGATCTGTCTACAGGGCAGACGCATCGAGTTTGGTAACTAGAGTACTTTACTAAAACCAGGCGTTTAGTCAGCCTGAAGCCATCTGGTCAACCACCCATTCCTCGACGCGCTCGGAAAAGTCATGGCGGATGGCCCGTGTACCACTGAATTCGAGTAGTGGGGCTAGCGATTTTAAGGTGAGATTGTTTGACGTTCTCTGCCCTCCACAACTCCTTTCCTACCTCATTTCTCTTTCTTTTACCTTCTCATTCCCCTTTACATATCTCTGCGTGTGTTCTTTTCAGTAACTGTAAAGAAATTCGTGATCCCGAAACGGGTGAACTGCACCGTATCTGGTAATCCACGGTATTTGAATAGGATTTTGTAGTAAACCTCTCCTATTGTGGTCCTCTAATGGTGTCGTGGACGAGAAGTTGACTTGGAAAAGGACTTCTGTCAACCTAGAGAGTACTGAAAATTCTGACTTTAAGGTGAGGAGTGGAGTTACTGGCCTGAATTCCCTTGTTCTTAACATGAACTGACATTATCAACTGAATGGGTTGGTCGTTAAAAACAACTGCAAAAGTCCCTTGCTTCCTGTTTTTTGGCTCAAAAATTGGGTTCCGGAAAGGATAACTCTTTTACACCTTCGTTATCGTACGAAAAGCTTGTTGATCTGATCAACAAAAAAATTACCTTAGATTTTGTTTCGTCTTTTCTTTCCGCTTCAAGTTCTTGACTCCCCCACCCTACTGAACCTTCGTTCTGAAATTGGGGTGCTGGTTTTTTGCTGTTGCCGGTCCTTTCTCGTTAACCACTTTAATTGGGAATGCAGTGTGCACTTTAGAATGCACATTATTAAAACCTTTTCAAGCCCTTGAAATTTGGGTGTTAGGCTATACCCGAGGAAAGTAGCCGACATTACCTAGCTCTTGGTGTAAGCACTCAGACTTGGTCAAATTCGTTTGCTACCGTTTTCTGCTTGGTAGAATCGGATAGTCGACTCAGCGGTTATTGGCATTATGTAAACCGCATTTCGGTCGTATTTGTGTGTCTGTTCATGCATTCCCCTCCTGGAAACCTTCTTACTTCATTTCTCTCAACTTGATCCTTTTTCTTGAAGTGCTCCCCTAATCCTTCTCTTTTCTAGTAACTGTCACGAAGTCCTTGATCCAATGACAGGTGACATGATCAAATATTGGTAAATTCCCTCGTCTATTAAAGAACCAATTTTAGTAAGCCAAAGCTCTTGTGGCAAAGCCACGTTGTTTCGGGGTGGCAAAGAACTTCAGTGAATCTTGCTTCTAGTGAAACTTCCGACTTTAAGGTGAGACAGACGTCCTTGTCCATTGGTTATTAACTTTGCTGATCTGGCTGTTTGATCCCCCTCCTGCTCGTCCTGTCTTTTTCTGTGCTTTTCATCCTTTATTTCTTCACTCTCTCAAGCACGTAAATTTGTTTTTGTTTCCTTCACAGTAATTGCTTCCAGATACCGGATCCGGAAACCGGAGAGTTGATTAAGTACTGGTAAATCGTCACCTTTCATTGAACCCACAGTCTGTAGCAAACCAAAACTTTTGTGGAAAGCCAATGAAACCACGGGTTGGCGTAGGACGTCAGTAGACCTCTATTCGGATTCCACTAATTTGACTGATTTCAAGGTAGTTACGTGTCTGTATACTTCGTATGCTATGGTACAGTGTGAGTTGAATTTCACAAATTAGTGTATGATGCTATGCGAAGTCAACTCAAAGACTCCATACTTGGTGTGAAAAGAGTTATTTCCCGTCAAGTGGAAATAAAAATTTAAAATTCAAACTCATCTGATAATATTACCCTGAGGTCCGTGGAGAGTGTTATGACCACCAAAACGCCATTGTTCTGCTACCTGTTTTAACATTCTAGGTAATAAATCCAGCACTTTCTGGTTAAATAATTTCAAAAGTTTTGGTTTAAAGAAGACTTGAATAGGACCTTCTGTTGTTTTGAGGCGCCCCGGTATTTAGTCGAAGGTTTCAGCCGTTTGTCTCGTAAAATGCGGGTTTGGTATCCTCTGCGAAGGGATTTTATTGTAGCATCCATGTCAAAGCCCTACCAAAAGCCATTTTTCCTATCAATTTGTCACACAAATTGCTGAATTATTGCGGAGTGTTTGTGTAAACGGCCTCCTTTGGTTTGTTCCGGCCGTAATAATGCGTACTTTTGGTCAGCGTTCGTTTTGGCAATTCTTCTACTCCGTCTTCTAAGCGTCTGATTCCTCTATGTAATAGGGAGCGGTGTATAATTTTTTTCGCAAGCTTCAACCCACCTATTTCCTTTCTTAAGAAAGGATATCTTATTCATCTTCGATTACTGCTTAAAGTCTGGTTTATTGTTATTTGTGCCCCTCTGATTTGATCAATTTGGGTTATAATAGAATTTTTAAAAATTAAAATCATTTTGCACCTTCTTTCTCATCCCCATAACCGTCCTAAATGCTTTGGCCTTGAACACGCCAATTGATGTCTCATTAAGTAATTTTTTAAATGCTCCTACAAACTCAGGCAGATAGTGGAGCATCAAGCGTTTTGGTTTTCTATAAATATAATGACGCTTTTATCATCAGTATCAATTTCCGATTCCTTCGTTTTCCCTTTTTTTGACAAAGTTGACTTGTTATGCAGTGGGGATTCGGCAGTACTTGCTATATAATTCGTTGTCTTTGTTGAGACCATTTCTATTGGCAACGGTAGTAGTAATAGTAGCAATATGGACTAAGCTGTTTCTTCCGGCAGGATCTGTTCACCCCGTGAACACTTGCCGTCTTTGTCAACCCCCAGCCCATCACTTTTCTCGACCTGAGCTTACGCGCTAATTGCGACCACCACGACTACATCGTTGTTTGGATCAAAAATACTCTGAGTGATCAGAGGTCTTTTAGTTAAACCACTAGAAACTCCGCGGCGGCCTCTTTTGTGTTCTGAAACTGACCTGACCCCCTCCTTCCACGTCTTTCACCCGCTTTATCCTTGCCTGATCCCCAAAGCCTTTCTTTTGGTCCTTTCCACTGCACGTGCGTCCTTTTTCTTTACTTCTCGTAGATCGTGCCGACAAATTCTGGACCCTCTAACGGGGAAGATGCACCCAATTTGGTAATGCCTTCGGAGTACCCTTAAACCTTCCTGTTTAGCGACACGGAGTCCTTGTGGTCGGTTAACGGCACAGGAGTGACTTCTCACTGGTCCAAGGCCATAGTTAGTCTGGCGTTGAGAGAGAAGTTAACCGACTTTAAGGTGAGAGTTGTGGTCCCAGTCGTTGCTACCAAACTGTTTGTCAGTTATTGCTGAGTTGACTGCAGTACATGAGAACCGATTTTGTTGTGTGACTAGCTCAACCCTCCCTCCTTTCCTTTTCCTTCCTTCCGTTCTTCTTCTTACTTGTCCTCCACTTCCAATAACAAGGCCTTTTGTTAAAATAGAAATTGTCGAGAAATTCCCGATCCCCTGACAGGGAAGACGATCACTTACTGGTAACTCGATATTTGTTAAAAGTAGTATCTTTAAGTGAGCCGCAACCAATGTGGGCGAACAACGGCAGCACCTCCGGGTGGCTGAAAACGTACGTTCAATTGGATGCCACCGATTCGCCTTCGGATTTTAAGGTTAGAGCAAAAGTAATTCGTTTGTCAATTCGCATCAATGTTGACTTAGGTATATCTCCACACAACGTCATTCTAATACAATCAGCCTGCCTTGTGCTTAGTGCTGGGGTTAACTTAATCAAATTATCGATTTGTCGCGGAACAAGTTATGATCGCTAAAAGTATGCAAATTAACCCTCTGAAAAGGTCAGGTAGCGCGTGTTTGATTCCCCTCACCTTACTTTTTTTCACCCTTTATTTTCTACTGCATTGTTTCACTTTTTAAGTATCTGTACAATTAACTATAACTTAAAATGTTATTTATTTGCAGTAACTGTAAAGATTTAGTCGACCATGATACTGGGAGAACACATCACGTCTGGTAAATCATCAAAGTTATTCCTAACGCCCGAATTTTTTTAAGTGAGCCAGATCCACTTTGGCAGAGCACTTCTAAGGCAAGTGCCCTTCGCGAATGGCAGAGGGTGAACGTTGACTTGCAGTCTAACACCAAGTCAGACTTTAAGGTGAGACAGTGGCGGACTTACTCTCTACCTTCTTATTTGAACTGCTGATGGCAAGCTCTCATGGCTACCGGTTAAGTAGAACCTTTCCGAGTTCGGACTCCATGTAAATTAGTGAAGTCAGTAGGTAGCATCAGCCGTGTGCCTTCCGTCGGTCCCAAATCGCGCGTTTCTCTGTTTCGCCCCATTCCCGGTGTGTACAAATTGTGTGCTTGTAATGCTCAAAATCCAACTGAGCCTTTCCTTTCTCTCATCTTCCTCCTTTTCTGTCGTTTGTCGTGAACAGCAATTTCAAACATTTTTCCCTTATCTCAGGAATTGCAAAGACGTTCTAGACCATGATACGGGGAGGATCCATCGATTCTGGTACCCGTTTAACATATCTATAATATGAATCATTTAAGTGAACCAAATCTACTCTGGAAGAGTGGTTCTCCAGCAGGGCATAGTTGGTTTAAAGCAATGATCGATTTGACGGCCAATGGAACCTCTGATTTTAAGGTGAGCTTGTCTGTCCGGAAAACTCCATTGTGAGATTGGTGGCTTTTGTGGTCACCTACCCCCGCTCCCTTCCGCCTCCACTCTTAGGCTTTTTCCTCTCTTGACGCCTTTTTAAAAGTCGACTCCTTTTATGCATCGACACATTAAAAAATGAAATTACTTGATGATCCTCCATAAGATAACCACATGTCCGGAAACAGTGAAATTCTTTTACTAAAGAGTGCTGTCCATCGTGTAATCGAGAGTTTCTCTGGCGTAGTGTTGTCATTACTCTCCGCTGGTCCAAGGGTTGCTCAAATTTCTTTTAAAATTGACTTCAAAATATTAAATTGATTTTTAAAAGGAAGTCAAAGCAAGTTACTGTTGCAATTGGATTTCGGGAGCACATCATTCCCTTATTCTGATAATCTGCATTTGTGATTAACACGAAAATATAAACGACGCCATGTCCCGCATGTCTTTAGGAGCCAAATTTATGGAAGGATCATTGGGGTCGACGACTTATGAATTTACAAGACCTTGATAGAGTCATTCGTTGTCCTATAACGTTTTTACACGCTCTTTCGGATAATTTACTCGCCTATTGTCGGTTACCAGAGTGGAACATTTGACTTGACATGTTGACGTCTCGAGCAGTTAGACAAAGACACGGTTTTGGAAGATTGACGCTCAGCTTGGTGGAAGCGCGTGTTCATTTGTGCTACCGCGATGCCCGACCGTTCGGCCAATAGTGCCTTTACCGAGACTTCTTTTTAACCACTAGAGGACAATTTGGCAGACAAGGTGTCTGGTCCTATGTATCACGAGCTTTATTTAAATCAAATTAAAACCGAATCGTTGTTATAAGAGTTCAAATAACTGAATAGGACCATAATGCACAACTTTTCCAAATGCTACATGATTAACGATCGAGTGAAACTTTTACTTGTGCATTTAGGAATTTTAATGAGGTTTTTCCACCATGGAGGCATTTTGTCTCCTGACCCAATTGGGTTTTTTATAATACCGTGTCCCACTGCTAAGTTACTTCTATTATTTTGGATCTAAGGGGTACCAAGTCTAGCAGTTAAATCGAGGATTCCATGCTTGTTGAATATTACTTGGGAATTAGATGGACAAAATTCAAACTCAGGCACACCGTTTCCAATATCATCTTACGCTGGGTCTATTGGAGAGATTCCATGAACTCTACTCCTACTCAAATATTTTTCGTCAAGTTCACGAGTGAAGGAAAACCATTTCTCTTGACCCCATCAACTCATTGGATCGTCGTACCTGAGGTTCCACACTATTGCCAACTGACTAATGGGCTGTGAGCGACTAGTTTTTTTCGTCGATTGCTTGTGAACAAACCAAAATTCTTATCCTTCCCCTTCTTCCGCCTTTTTTGCTTTTTTTGCTAATCGAACGGACAGATTCTAAGTTACCCGTTTCTTCTTCTATCAGAGCATGCCAAAAGTTGACAGCATATGAAACCGGACAATCCTTCACTGTCTGGTAAGAGGTCCCTTCTATCGATCGTTGCCTCCTGTTAGTGAGCCAAGTCCTCTTTGGGCAACGAATAGAACTGCAAACCAATGGCTAAAGGCATCCATAAGCCTTGAAGGCGCCACACAGTCTGATTTTAAGGTTAGTCTGTGGGCGATTTCATCCGATGGGTCATGTGTGCTAATCTGTCACACATCTCTCTCCCAAATTCTCCATTCTCCGCTTCTTCAGTCTTTACGAGGTGATTTGCCACACCTCTTAAACTCTTGTTGGGCTTTTTCCCCATGAAGCGCCGTTGCCGACGACCCCACCTCTTCATCAACAGTTTCACAGTCGTTTTACCCCAATCCGTCTCTTAAGTTCAAACTTCGCATTGGATTCTACATGTCTATTTCTGCTTTCAAATGTACAGGTTGAGGTCGCTTTGGAATTGTTTTCCTTTTTATTAAAATAATTTGCTGAGGTAATATGCCAGATTAATAACTGCTAAAACGAAGCTTCTTAAAAGACTGTATATCTTTTTTGCGTCAGTCTGAAAACGGTCAATGCTTGTGTATAAGTACTTGATTGCTCCGTACTTTATGGAAACTCTCATATCATAGTAATCTGTTTTTGGCTGCTTTTTGCGCCACGTCGATTCCCTCAAACTACTGCAAAATGTCTCATGCCTTGAACACATTCACAGTCTATGTGTATGTCCATGGTAACCTCCGTAGGCGTTGCTGGTGTACGTAGTGTCTTACCAAGCGTCGTGCTTAGCACATTTCAAAGTTTGGTGGATCTATTACTGAAGAAAGTGCATCACCAAATCCTATAATGGGAAAAACCTTTTGTTTTTGCGTCTTTTTCATCTTGGGTCATCTTTGGTACGAAAGCAGTATCTATGGAAGCATTCCAGGAAAATCACTTGATTGTTTGCTACTCACAACACACCGATAAAGTTCGCCAGTTTTTAATCGCATTAAGAAGGGCCGATAGTATCTCACGAGTTGAAGCCGTGTCTTCTGATAAGAGATGTATCTCATGCTAGAATCACTTCCCCTGTTCGCATCCTTACAGCGAGGAGTGTTGTGAAATTCCGATGGATTTTGCCTTCGTTGAAACTGCTCTTCTTCTCTTCACTTTCTTTCTACTCTGGCTTTAACCTCTCTGCGCAATTTATGACCGTGCCTTTTCCATTGTTTCGTGTAGGTCTTGCATTAACGTAAGACATCCAGTAACCGGTGAACTGATGCCTGCATGGTAGTTTTGTTGTTTCCTAATGACCTCGCTGTTGTCTAGCCCAAGCACCAAACTCTGGGCCAGTCTTGGTAACAATATCACCACGTTCCAAACTGCCGTTGTTCCAATCAACAGCTCTGTTGACTTCAAGGTTAGTACGTCCCTCGGTTGGGTCTGGTTTCGTTCTCTTCAGTCCCCCCTCCATCTGACGTCATAAGGCTCTTCTTTAAATGCATTTTTGTCTTAAGCCAACTCATAGGAAAAATCGACATACTAGGTTTCCTGTAGTGTCAATCTCATCGCCCTTAAACATTTCTATCCTAACCTTTCAAACCTTGTCCCTGTTAATTTCTTGTGTAGTCAAGGCAAGCAGCATAAAGTGATCAAGCTCTATGTTGCTGTCATCCTTACTCGATTTTGCGTATGTGGACTTTGCTAGTTATGAACTTTAGCCTTCTAGGCGAAGGAGGTGTTCAGAACTTGATATTGTGCACCAGAAACCGAATCCGGAATGACCTGTAAATCGGATTTCGAAGTGTTGATTATTTGGAGACTAATGCAATAGCGCTCTTTCATGTCTTCTAATGTTTGCCGTTTGCGTTTGGCGGAAAAATTCATAAACGGAAGGATCGAGGTAGCTTGCTGAGTGCCACCTTTCTTCAAAATCTTGGCGTAAAGTTTCTGGGAAGAACATAAACAATTGGTTGTTCTAGTGGCTTCGTTGTGAATTTTTGTCTGCTTGTGTTGATTTAACGTCTGGCCTTTTCTGACTTCTGATTCTGTCGTTCTGTGTTTATTTGGCGTACTTCATGCCTCGTGTTTTCTCTTTATTCAGAGGCTGCGTGCAAGTAGCTCATCCAGTAACAGGGAAATTGTCAAGTGTCTGGTGGGTTTGATAGCCTTTAAATAACACGACCCCTTCAAATTAGCTCGAGCGATGACCTCTGGAACACGACTGGCTCGTCTTCAGGATGGCGAAGTACGAAGGTCGACCTCGCCTCATCTGCGAAAGGCGATTTTAAGGTACTCATCGCGGTTCACTAGTGTCATTAAGCTCATCCTCTGATATTTGTGTTTGACGCAGCGGATACAACCCATGTGGCGTTAAACGGTGTCGACTTCGTAGCATTATTCGTCGTGTAGTATGACGTGTGTGTCCATTGTATTCTCGACTCGGACCTTTCTCTTACCATAACCTCGACTATCAATTATCCAGAGTAGGTTAATCAGTCGAAAACATGAGCAGTCGTTTAACTTGGTAACTGATGCCGAAACTCGGAATTTCTGGGTCAGGACATTTCAATCGTGAGAGTCTTGTAGAAAATTCTTTGCGCCTCGCCTTTATCGAAGCGTGGTTAAGTGCTCCGCCGTATTGTTGCTTCTTTGACATAACCTTTGAAGTTGGCCTATTTGTGGTGGTCTGTGTACTGAAACTCCCCCTTATCTCTGTTTGAACTCTATCTTCCTTGACTACCCTTCTTTTTTATCTGGTTTTCTTTGCTTTACCCAAAGACTTTCCATCCTTCAGGGGTTGTGTTCCTGTGGCTCATCCAATTACTGGGAAGGTCTCCAATTTCTGGTTAGTTGTCCGACACATTTAACGACAACCTCTTTGTAGCTCCAATGACGAGCTTTGGAACACGACGACTGTCGACTCTAATTGGCGGCAAGCGAAAGTCGATCTAACTTCAGCACATAAGAGTGACTTTAAGGTATGCACGTGCAAATAAGGTGCCTCGTGTTTTGAGAATGGTTAGCCATTTTTAAGTCAATATTTGTGGATTCACTCAAGGCGCCACTTTCCTGTCTTTGTTTATTCATCAAGCTGCTCCTTTATTCGCAATTTTGGATAGATTTTATGCAATTGACATCTTCTTTTCCAACGTTCCACCTTACGTAGCTGAGTGCTTGTGTCATAACAAGTGCTGAAAAATCCGTTTTAAAGGGGCTGGGAAAAGTCGATAATGTATTGCCAAATAAGCATCGAAGACTATAAAAATAACGGCCAAGTGTTCTTCAAGTGTCGTTCGCATTTATTTCGTGGTGGAAAGGTGCCGGGCAGTCGATTTCGCATGGCAGAGCTACTCGCCAATTCAGTAAATCGTATCGAGTGTACTAATCACATGAGTGACCCCAAATGGGCTGAGCAGCAACACTAACAATGCGTTTTCATGTCACCGCACTGTGCCGATAAATAGGCGGGTCGATATCGTCGTTCTCTGGATGCTTTTATGAAAGATTCAACGTTGTGCTCCAACTGTGGCGTTTGTTTGCGTTTGGCTCTATAAATTTTCTCCCTTTTTTGGATGCTGCAAATGTGAGCGTCCTCTGGTTTCTTGGACCGAACTTCTTGACTCTTACCTTCACTTTTCTTATGGTCGTTTACGAACACATTTTTGCTACTTTTTTAGAAACTGTAAATTAGCTCCCCACCCGGTTACGGGAGAGATGACTTCCTTTTGGTAGGATTGATTTCACATTGTGTCCCGACTAACAGTCTCTTAGTGCCAACGTCAAGATTTGGAACACGTCGTCACTCCACAATCGGGGGTCCGGTTGGAGGCAGTCAAAAGTTGACCTCAACGGCACAGGTGTGGGTGATTTCAAGGTTCGTGGTCTATCTTCCATTATGCCAACTCTTACACGCCTTGAGGTAGTGTTGTATTTTCGCTGGGGGGTCGGTCGTTAATCCTCACTGTGGTTTCAAATGGACTCGTGCGATCACTACTGGTGGAAGGGTCTGTCGTTGTCGAGTTTTGTTTGTGTGGTTTTGGGTCTCTTGACGAACAATCCTCTTCCCTTTTTCCTTCTCCAATATTCTTTGTAGTTCAGCTTCTGGTTATTTTATTAAATATCCTCATTTTACAGACACTGCAAACTAGCGCCTCACCCGATCACAGGGAAACTTACCCCCTTTTGGTAGGCCTTTGTGCTTGTCTCTCTCCAATTACCCTCATCTTAGTGCCAACGTTGACCTTTGGAATACAACAGCAATCCAGGCTTCAGGCTCTGACTGGAAAATGTCTAAAGTTGACCTCCAAACAAATAACACGGGTGACTTCAAGGTTCGTGAAACTGTTGTCTCCGAATTCACAGCCCACTAATTCGATTTGAAGTCTGTCCAATTGATCAATGTCCAAATCTATATTGACCTAATGTTTACCTACCTAAACACTGAGTTTTAGGCGGCATAATTTCTACTTACTCAACTTGGAAGGATTTGTGGTGTAGAGTTAAACGACGTCATGGCAATTTTTCCATAGCTGCTTGGCGGTCTCATTGACATCGAGGCTTGCACCTTCCTTCTGGAATGTTTACACACGTATTTCCGGTCGTTCGTTTGTTTCAATGCCTGACCGAGGTACTTTTTTCGTTTTGCGAATTTACTACCTAAATTCACTTTCTAGCCTAGCCATTTGTTGGTACATTGATGCAGCCCTAACAGCTTTAGTTGTTCTTGTTCTGAAACGACCACTTAGCAAAATCAAGCCGATGTTCGAATCATTCCGCTGTCCCAATGGGACAGCGCTTCCAGAAATCGGTTTCGTGCGCCATCGCAACCATTATGCGGTTTCAGAGGTCTTGCTATGCGACATACAAATGCTCCTATTGTATCGGCCGTATGCACGCACGCATCAGACTTAGAATAAAACGAAGAAAAGGCCGGAGAGGACGGACACAAGCGTTTACTTCAGAGGTCAACCACGTTGGTGTCGTTATGTCGTGTGTGGTGTTTGCGCGTGTGTATTTATAGCTCGGATGTGTGAGTCATAGATGCGCTAACACCGAGACATATGTGTGGGGACACTCCACGATAAATATTCGGGCTAATGAAGGGGGAGTTGAGGAATCGAGCGGCTGTCGACATGCTGCGACAAGGGGAACCCTGTGTAGGAGGTGGAGCGACCGTTTGGATGGGGGTTGAATAAACAGGATTCACGACAGACGTATCAATTTACTCCTTATTGCAAATCATGGCATCAGAAACATGGATCAGTCTCCAACTTTACCATACTACGCACACTTTCTCTTACTCTTTCTCTATCTTCTCACCACTTGTACATCTAACTACCATACTTCTGGTCACCGGATTGAGCGTCCAAACTAGTAAATAATTTAGGCTGACGGCAACTATTCATTTCGCTATCACTGTGCACTTGCTAATGCGTAGCCTAAATAGCTAATTAGGCAAGGCTTTTAACTCACATATTTACTTAGAAATTTCCCACTAGCTTCGGCGATCAAAAGCAGATTGGAATTTCGCGCTCCCAATAATCGTGCAAGCAAAACTGTTTTCTCCGATTGGCAGAAAGTCGCTTTAACTCAAGCTTAAGCTCGTTGGACTGGATGTTTGTGTGCTTTCGGCTGTAACCGGTAGACAGTAGTCTCGCGTTAGTGGCTTCTTCGTCCGAGTAATGCAACCTGTCGAGTCCGCACGGTCTTCACTAGCTAAATTTTGCGAGAGCACTTGGTGAGCGTACGGTGGCTCCTTAAATATCCGAGGCCTTATCAGGAAGCCCTCCGCCCACGGGGAATTTTGTGTGAGCAGTCTGATGCGATGTATTTCCTCTTTATGTGATCTTTAGTTTATCCTCCTTCACCTTCGTTTTTTTCCTACCCTTTTAAATTATATTCAACTCTATTTGTGTCCCAAACAGATCTTGCGAGTCGATTCGTCATCCGAAAACCGGTGAAGTGGTAAACTTTTGGTAGGACCCTTTATTTTCGAATTTTACTGAGGTTTATCCAGCCCCAATAAGAAATTATGGAATTCCACAAGAAATTCAGTTTCATCTTCATCTCAAGCGGCGTTTCAGTCGGTCCGCATACCGCTTGATTCGGGGATAGATTTTAAGGTCAGTAACGGTAATTAACCAGCGATTTGTTGCTATTTGTCCTGTGATGGAGGCACTAATTTGCTCTTTTTCTGACACGAAGAGTGGTTTCAAGATAGGTCGAGTAATTGGGTAGAGTTTGGAACGGCTACTGTTGTGTTTGTGAGCAAATGACTTCGGTGACCTCGACCTGATATATAGGGCGAGTGCAGTCGTGATTCCTCATAAGTTCCCTCCATGAATTTCCGACAATATCCCCACTTTTGGTGCTTTTTCTTTTGTTGCTATCCTTCCACACTGGCATCCAATGTCTCTTACTTGTCAGTTCTCTCTATTCACCTAGACGTGACTACCCAAACCCCTTTCGATCTGGCAAGACATGTATTTACTTGCAGTAATGCCTCTTTCACTTCAATTCCAACTGCTCACAGATTCGTCGAGGCCGAAATTCTTGGAAACTCAAAAGGAGGACTCATTTTGAGCATTATTAGACTTTCTGGTACACAGGCCGAATATTCGGCAAAATATGTCCAGGACTGTATGATGTTGCCTTCTAAGTTTGGATTGTCTTTTCGGGGGTGCCAATTTGAGGCCTTTCGTGGCGCGTTGTGCCCGAGGCGCACCTCGGATGGCTTTTTAGTGCTTGCCTGATTAGCGATTCGCTCTCTCCCAGCTGATTTACAATACCAACCTACTTCTTGGCATACGTCCACCGGCTAAACAGGTTTACAGATTACTCATTCTTTGTGAATGAGGCTACTTTTCTTTTGGATTCGGTGTCGCTGCAGTCGCAAATTCACACAGAAAAACAATTCTGCCAGAGTGCAGGTGGACTTTGGTTGTTCAGTAAAAATCGTTAGTGTGATGTGGTGTTTCAATGTCTAAGTATACGTCCCCAATTAGTACCTATTTCTACATTACTCTGAGTCAGCCTCCTTCTTGTTTGATTTGGTCGCGCAAACGTGAGAATTTTTAGTGCAGTTGACTTGACGGATTCTTTGGATAATGTTTCTAGACAAGTCGTGCCCAGATAGTGACGTTGATTTGGGCTGAGCGACATTTAGCGTCTGCAACTTTCTTACTCTTTTTGAGACCACCTTCTCACATCCTTCGCCAATTTATCTAAAAGCAACTAGACCTTTTCTTGTAAGCTGGACGCTGTCGTATGACAAGTCCAGTAGACGTTAAAGTAGACTTTGCTTCAGCGCGAACACTGAGCTGTGATCTTCGGAGGTCGATAAAAATTCCACCAATGCTTGGCAGGTCGCCCTTGTCGACTTAAAAACAAATGGAACTGACGATTCAGTCAAGGTTTGTCCACGACGAAGCCCCATTATTCTCATTTTTTATCGTCGCGTGTGATGAAAGCCAGATTGTGCAGTAGCGCGGTTTCTTACCTGACACCCGTGATGCCTTAGACCTGTCTATTTCGATTCCTCCTTAGTTCTAATAAGAGTTACATGTTTATCGTTGACCGAGTCGCTATGGCTTATTTGTCAGGGTGACACCAACAAGCGCATATCTCTATCGCAGTTATCCAAAACAAAGCAGGTGGCAACGTAGTCTCGCTAGCAACTCATTGTCACCTTGTGGCTTCTGCGTACTGATGAAACCTCGGATTTCGAAGAAGCGGTTTATGCCTACTTTGCCCATCCCTCATCAGGGAGTCTTATGCAAAGCGAAAGTGATCCTCACCGTCATTCAGAGTTCTGCTTTTTATGTGATCGTGAACCATCTTAATTTCCGGGCTGTGTGTCTTTCGCGTTGAAATCCCAGAGCCCGATTCCCGTAGGCATTATTCAGACGCTGGCATGACCTTAAGGACACCGTTTTTCGACTCTACTTCTCGTTCAATTGTCTTGTCTACATTTCCCCGTCTAGGGTACTTCTGGCCGTACGTTCTCTAACGATTACATGGGCGTAACCCATGGCGTTGTAACAAGGGAATACTCGTTCGCTTGCTTTAATCCCCTCGCAACTTTCACGTTTCTGCTTCACCCGATCTTATTTTTATTTGCATTCTCCTTATCGTCCGCTTGTTAATTTTTCGTGTCCTTCTAGCTCTTGCAGAATGGATACTGGTCTTGAGTCAGGCATCAAGACCCTTGTCTGGTAGACTCATGTTTTTAGACTTTGAGATCGATTTAGCGAAACTAAAGATTTGTGGGTCTCGAAGACCACGAAACCGAGCGATTCATGGAAAATGGTGCGTATTGACCTCCCTGTGGCAGAGGACGGTGACTCGTTTAAGGTGCGCGTTCGTCTTTAAGTTGCTTCGTTGTATAAGACGCTAGCTTCCCATCTGACTAGCTTTCATTGTAGTGCAGGTCTAAACGAGAGCTTATTTTGAGGTGATGTTTTAGAGATTAGGGCATTGTAAGTTTGGCTGCGTGTTCAGTTGGATCTCCGCAGTTATTCAAGTCTTTTGAATGGGTGTTCACTTCTTTGTAACTCTCAATCTAACACTTTTGATAAATTGGAAACTGGCTTAAAAGTTTAATGCCGGACTTATTCGTAGGAAGAGAAACGATGCCACTGCATTGACCCTTAAGTAATGCAAATGCGGATTAGTTAGACTCCCTTAAAAACATTCAATTCCCTGCTGAAAAGCGCCAAATACGACGCAAAACCTTTCTAGTTGGAAGGGCATTGTGCGCTAATAAATCTCTGCTTCCTTTCATGTACATTTTGCTCTTAATCGACCTCCGTCTAATTTTCCCACAGCAATCTTATCAGTTCATTTCTGCTAACACAATTACTCCTGCATATTTGGTTTGTTGACCGTATCAATAAGTACCTGTGATATTAGACATCTTTGGTGTCATGTAAGGTAATCCTGATCAGTGTTTGATTAGCACTGCAGATTTTCTAACGCTTCTTTAGATTTAGTGAAGTCGCGTTTATATAGAAATAAGCACGATGCGTTGGTTGCTAGGAGTTCAGCAAATATGCACCTATGCACGTGTTCTCGGGGCACTTTGCGCCTCGGGTGGTAACGACGTTCATCTTTGGGGGACGAATTCAATTGGTGATATGCCCTTCCATGCTGTTGCACAACTGCTTAAATTGGCGAAGTTTCTTTAGAAAGTTTATCAAGTACCTTTTCCCCAAAAAAGAGGCTTGTTTTAATGAGTTTAGCAATAATAAACTGACTTCCCTAGTGATAGCCAGACTGCCCTACTTGACAGTCCTGTTTTCATCGCTCAATTGCTTTGTTGATGGAAAAGAGCTTTAAGGTGTCGTTTCGTAGTATCCCTACGGGGGTATCGTTTTTAACCTGGGTTTCTCCTTCGTTGGTGTCGTGTGACTGGATGTTCTGGTGAGCGCTCAACGCGAAAAACTGGGGGTCGTTCTCTGCCTCACAGTCATTCTTGCTAATGGAAGCTGAGTTTGCCCACTCACGTTAGTCCACTTCGTGTAGTGTTGGGTTAGTGGCCCTCAGATAGCCAACACTGAAGCATTAGTTTGGCTTTAGACGTAGCGTTGTTTTTTTTCCGGCTTGTAACATTCTAAAAGCATTTTCGTTTGCCTAAAACCCACCACGTTTTTTTATAAAGATGCGCTTTTTCTGCTCAGCTCACTTAACGCCTTCTTTTTTTTTCTAGCTTATTTTAGAGGGAGTTATTCCGGCTGGGTATCCTGATGCAAGAATTTGTGTTGACAACATTACCAGCTACACAGTACCATGCAGTGGTGCGTTATCTCCTTTGACCTCACAGTAACATTATACACAAGTTTTTTCGTCCCATGTGCATTATAGACATTTGCCAGGCAATTCAAGTGTGCCAGGTTAATTGGATATTTAAGAGTAACGTTTAAACGCGTGGGCATTTCATCAGTGCGTCCCATTGGCCTCCACATTCGTGGGCTTTTGCCACGTGTACAGCAATACCTAATACCTTCCTAGCTACTTTGAATAGACTTACTCAGTTAATTTCACTTGGGCGCTGTTCACAAACTCCTTCAACTAGTTGTCATAATTAGCAACGTTTTCTCGGTGGGTAGGAGTTACTTGGTTACTTATCTGTTTCGCGCGTTCATGCAATAACTCTGTTCACCACAAGCATGTTTGTTTACGTGGTGACTGTCATTTTGTTGTCACACAATAGTGGTCGGACTTGCCTTAAATTCTTGACACAGTGCTGATTTGGCTCACTGCCCGAATAGCCTATGAGAAACAATGGTTGTAGTGTCAGCGGATGTTTCGTTAGAGGAAAATGGGTTAATTTGCTCTTAAATTACTGAGAATGCACATTTACTCCGAGCCCGTTTTTTCGTTTCCAACAAGAAATTCCTACAATACCCTAATGCAATGATGTCTAGTGGTTTGGACAGCACTAGTCAGCCTAGGTTTTCTTTTAAATTTTCTAATGCTGGAGTGCTCTCTACTTAAATACCGTGAGATGCACATGGAGCTTGACCCATTAGCACGGGTTGATCATCACTTATAAGTAATAACACTGTAATGCTGTTTGGCTCTTATAATTCACCCGATCGGTCGTCCCTCCCCAAAACTCGTTTGTCGGCGTGAGAAGGCGACTGGTTAGTTTTATCCGGCTAATATCAGTAACTTTGAACCGCAGGATGGTTCTGCATGTGGGCATAGTCATCTTCTGAATATCGTTTTTTTTCAAATAACTGCAGAGCTGGAACCAAAGCCGGCTAAGTCTGCCCCTTCTACCTTCACCTGGGCTCATTACTTCGGAATTACCTTTATTGTCGCCCTGGCCTTCGGCCTGCTGATTCCCATTCTGTTCCTCGTTGGGATCATTGTTGTCTGCAGACGCCGTCACGCTTACAGACACCACCACTCGATGGTCAATGGCTCCGGTGGCAGTTACGGAAACAGCAAACTCTTCTCGGCCAATCTATGGCACTACATTGGGGGAAAGGAAGTTGCCGACGATCCTTTCGCCGAGCACACCGCCAGTATCCACAGACCACCCTTTTCAACCCACAAGTTCTCCGACGGAACCCTTGGAATGCGCAGTGATGGAACCTTGGACTTGCCTGACGTTGTTATCCCGTCAGGTTTGTTTACAATTGTGATGAGTACAAAATTTCATGTCTAGAAATCTTAATCTGATTAGTTTGCCGGTAAACAGGGCATTTCACCGTAAAGTTTTACATACTTCTGGTTTCGCCCAAAGCTTATTTAAATGAGTTCATAAGTGCTGTCAAACGCACAAGGACGCCCTCCCCACGAGCTAACTGTGAACATACTAATGCGTCACTGGCTAGTGTAATTCTCTTACATTGTCGACGAAACGATGGAGATAGGTAAGATGGTTATATTCTAGATTTCAGCGCTCGCCTCTACATTGTCGGGGGCTCCTCAGCTTGTTCCAGTTATGATCCATTCTTGTGACCCATTTCGTCAAAGACGCAAACTCTTCTCTTGAGACACGTGACCGGGGACTGCAAGCCGTCATTTCCTAGTTTTATGACGCTCATTGTTGAAAAGATGAGTAGGCAGGATCTAGGGGCAATGACCTCAACCCCGTTTATTCTTTTGCGTTTCTCTTCAAGGCCGCGTTGTTGGTGGAACCCTCATGCGTCAAACCTCGCACCCGGCTTACAACGGTGCGGCCTACGGCTACCAGACCATGATGACGGGAAAGCAGATGCGGAATGCCGGGTACAACGGCATGACTATGACGCCCCAGCCCAACATGATGACTTCCCAGCCAAATTTCACCATGGATTTTAACGCGCAGAATGTAATGCCAAACGTGGCTCAAGGTAGGAGTCGGTTGGGCCTAAGCTTTCTGAGGGACCCGATTTTTTGCGACATCATTTGAGCAATTGTCCATTACGTACGCTGTGAATTTTTGACGCAAGTGTTAGCTGAGTTTTACTAACTTAAAAGACATACCTGTGTTCGATAGTTACCTGGTTGTCTTGATGATACTACTGGATACGTGTTTACACGCTATGAAGTAAAGAATAGGTTTAGTGGTAAGTGGTCCGATCCACTTCCGCCTGAAGCTGTGTCGAGCATGTAACGGCAAATTTTGACAACTAGTTGCTTGGGACCGAGGGTTTTACGCCTTAGTAACGCAAGCCCAGCCCTAGCTCCTCTTGAACAATTATTTGGTCCCCTAACTGGCTTTTCTACCTCTCCAGGCAACCAGCAAATGCTCGTGCCCATGCAGTGCGCTCCTCCAGTTAGTCAAGGGATGATCCAGTCTGATGTCGTGCAGCAGGTAATCCCTCGCCTTATTTCTCCTTATGTACTTAGCTACCATGATAAAATCCCCGAAGACGTGGAATTGTTCATGCTATGGTTTTTGGGAAATGAATCATCCTCTTTCTTAACGCAAATGCGCATTCCTGACAGTGAGGTTAGAATCGTTTTGAGTGTATTGGTGTACTGCATGCGAGAGACGTATGCTTGACCAGATCTCATCGAATGGATTTGGATTACTTACGTGTTTGTTACTTGGCTGCTTCTTTCCATGCGTAATGTGGCTTAAAGTCTTCCAACTGCATCGATCATTTTGTGCAAGGCTCTCTGTTACGGGAATTGGCGTTTTGACTGAATCACAACGTTGAGATATTTCGGTTGATCGAAGTGAGGAGGGGACGCATAAATGTGGTCACCTAGTCTGTTATTCGCATTGTTTGCATTCTTAGTCGGCGATGGTGCAGCCCGCCAATTACTTCCAGTCTTTGACCCAGCCGGCCACCACCACGGCCCCTAATACGTCCGCGGCAGTAGCTGTAGCACCCGTTTCTGTGGCACAACCCACTGCCTGTGTTCACAGTGCGGCCCCTGCCACCGCCACCGTTGCCGTGACGACCGCCACCGCCCCTGTCACAGCCGCTCCACAAGTCAACGCTGTTGCCAACATGGATGACAATGGGCCGTTTGTGCTCCCTGACCCACCATCCGACCATCAACAGGAGCGTGACCAGGTCAGTTTTATAGGTCGATTTATGTATTTACTGCCAGAGGAGTAGGCTGCCTACTTAAAAGCCTTTCAATACAGTGCATACAAGTGTGCCACGCGAAAAGGCTGCGGTGTTGTTGCATATTATGTACATAGGCTTGGTCTAAGGTGAAGTATTGGGATAATGTATAATTGAACACGTGATTTCGAGGAGGGTGGCGGAATTCACCCGGAAGCCAACCTCACTAGATTAGTACGCGGTGAATAAGTTTATAACATAAGTAATTGATTAAAAGACTGTGTAGTGGTATGCTAAGCAGTTACATAAAGCTTAAATTAATAGATAATTGAACATAACGGTTAGCCCTCCCCATTTCTAATTTAAATCCGATTCTTGTATCCATCACCCAACTAACGCGTGGTGATTCACCATGGCGTTGCAAACTTTGATGCATAGATTGCACAAGCCCTCTTAAACTACATCTTTTCGTGTCGAAGGTTGCCGCTGCACTTGACGCCCTGAACGCTGCGACGGAGCCGCCACAGCCGCGCCAGCTGTGTCCCGCGGTTCACCCCGTGAACACCACCGGCGAGCACCCCCCGCCGGGCTACGACGAGGCCGTGGGCATGGTCGTGCGTCCCGGCGTCGCCGGCGCGAAGGTCAACGCCGCCCCGGTCCTCCCCCCGCGTCGCACCGCGCCCGCCAACAACGACGCCAACGCCGAGCCCCTCAGCCTTGCCGAACGCTACGGGCTTCCGGTCGCCGAGATCTAAACGCTCCGGCTTTGCATCCTCATCGTTGCTTAACATCACCAACTTTTAGTTTGTCATCATCGAATTCTGCGCCATCTGCGTCATCACATTTTTGTCGTTAATCACAACCATTTGCATGCATTCATCCGCAGTTTAACGAAATACTCGTTGCTTTTATTTCTCATCGACCGCACATCTCTATTTGTTCTCCGCTTTTAAGTGTCAGTTTTTAGCTTTTCCGTTCTGCAACACAGCGACGACTATCAACTTTATTCCTGTCTAATGCTTGTCGATTTCCTCATCAGTGTGTCATTAATTGTCATTAGAACATTACAATAAAATCTGCTTCATCTCATCAAGTATTTCGTGTTCAGTTTTAGTCTGCTGCTTCATGACTGTCCGGCAGAATAGTCTGTTTGTCGTGCAATTACGTAAATTAGACTGTGCTTTGTACTTTGTGTAGAATCATCCGCTATGATAAGATTTGTTTTAGATCTCCAACAAATTCTGTATACACACAACGTTATAACTAACCTGAGTTGCGAGTGTAGCGGTATTATCTAAATCAGTTACACCTATAAAAGGTTTTGGCGTTTAGGGCATGGATGATCCCACTACCTGAATGGCGACTTACTATCTGGCTGGAGGGCTTACTGATATCACAACTCAGTGATCTCACGATTTCCTGGACCGATTAGCGTCTTTTTGGTACTTGAACACATCTTTTGGTGTTTTGACCTGTCGTAAAATCCCTAAAACTGTGCTTTTCCAAAACACCGGTGTTTTGTTTTGCCTCCTCTTGAAAGAAGCCATTAAATAGTGCGACTTTTTATCCAGACTCTTGCACTGCCTGACGGAGCTATTAGTTTTATTTAGGACCTTGAAAAGGTCTACGATTCACCCACGCACACAACTTCTGTAACGTCTGCCTGCATAGCGGTTGGTTGCTCTAGGGGTCAATGTTTGTAGCTGGTGGCTTCTGTGTGCGCCGTGGCTTCCTCCAGCACGTGCGTTTTCGGGTCAAACTACCTACATGTCCAGTCCTGGGGTTGGTGGTGGTGAGTCATCAGTCTAAGTGGCTTCTAATACGCGATCTAGCTGTGATGTTGCCAACGCTTGTGGTAACGCCTAACGAGGTAGTCAGCTTTCACTGTCAAATGACAAAAGGGTTAGGTAGTGTGTCCTGGGGCTTTCCAGGAAGTGGGATTCCACCATCCGATGTTGCAGTCTTTAAAAGGTGAGGCTTTTAGGATGGGCTCCCAATTAATCAGTTTAGGAGCTTGACCATGGATTGATGGACGTGTCTCCCATCTCTCTTAAGTGGCTCCTCAGTTTCGGAAAATCGTTAAGCAAGTTTGAATTTCGCATTGTAAAAGTCCTTCCAAAGCGTTTTCACACCGCATTTTGTCGTTGAGTATAAAATCACTCAGACATGAAAGTGATCTCAATGCAATCATTGTGGTAGTGTCCCACAAAATCCCGTTCTGGAGATCTATCCTCCAGAAAACTAACTAATTTCAAGCCGCACTGTAGGTTTCAATGTCGCCATGTTGGGCTCCTGATTGGACAAAAGTCCGGACGGTCTAAAGGGATTTAAACATGAGACTTCCCGTTAAGACGGAACTTCAAGAAAAGCATTCTGCACATGTTCGAAGGTCACTTGAGAGTGTCACGCCATTCATGGCATACGATGCTTGAATTGTTTGTTTTTCTGCATCCAACAAATCCGCCGGAAGTAACACCATATTGTCTGCTATTCAGGGAATTCAAGAAAGTTTTAAATTAAAAAGCCGGTTCAAATTTTTACTTAATTTTCAATCTCATGACTTTCGATCGGTCAGAACTAGTCAGTTGCATAAAGGCTGGCAAGACGTTAATATAATTATGAGGAAGAAATTAACGTTAGGTTTTTGGTGGTTTAATAAACGTCACTAGATCTGTTTTTGAGTCACGACCCTATGTTTTTGTTATAGGTCAAAATAAAAACCTCGGGTCCTCAGCCATTGGTGGCTCCTGATCCTCCAGCGGCCGCTCTTATTGGCCGCCCCACCCGTCAATTCGCTGTTAACACTTCCTGGTCGCATCGCGGAAATAAGCAAAAGCACGCTGTGGAGACCGTCTATATACACGCTGAAACGCAGATAGCTCTCCCTAGGTGCGACGTCATGGAGAGCCCCACGGCCCTGCAGATCGCTTACGCCCATCGCCGTGCCATAAACGCAGCCATAGTGGATCTCTTTGGGGATATTTCTGGGGCCTCCGTGCTTGCCTACGACTTGCTTAAATGTACCCAAATGGAGGTGAATAACGAGACGGAGAAAGACAAGACCTTCGGACGTCGCTTTGAGTTATTGGTCGCTCTCCAAAGAGCCCACGCAGATGAGATGATTGCAGCGCTGTCAATGATAACCGCGGGATTCTGTGGTGGAGAGATACTGTCTCTATTTGTCCCCTCCAAAGCTTCTGCTGAGACAAAGGTTTCTGCAGGACTTGTTGTTGATGTTCTTGGAGTTGCTGACTCACCAACTACACTAATTTCAGCTTCTTGAACAAGCTGTGTTCTCATAACCAGAGTATCTTTAATGATCATTTACAATGTACTGTAAAACCAGACAACAACGGGAATGCTTATGACGAATCCACCCAACAAATCCGTACAATGGAAAATGCCCGAATTTTTAAAGTGCACCACACTGCAGAATGGAGTCTAAATATAAAGCTAGGAAATGGACTGACTGGTGGCAGCCACCGCAACTTCAATTAACTAAAGATTTGTTGGTAATCGGTTTCTTATTACTGGAGGTGCTCAAAAAAGACTAAAGATGCCCTGAACTGTGTTCATAGTCCCAGTGTTATAGTTCCTACAGTGGATGTGAGAGTAAGTAATTGGGTCCCAGTGGAAGGGATTTAATGCCTACCAAAAAACGAGTGATTCACTTAAGGAGAAAACATTCAGCCTGAGTTGCTTGCGTGTACAAAAGCGCGAGAAATGTTTTTAATAAAATAAGACAATTTTAACCTAGGAATATAAATTTGAAAGCAGATTTCATGCATTTCGCCACACACGACGGCTGTTTTGGGATGCACTTTAGCCCCAACATTAATGTCGAGCTTGAGATCTGTGAATTTGAACTGGTATCCAGACTGCATGTGTAGTGCGCATTATATCGAAAGTTCATGTAATGCAAAGCTAATCAGAGATAACCACACTTTGAAAAAAAGTGTTCTGAGTTTGTTAACGTGTATACACATTATGGATAAAGAAATTCATTGTGGGCGTTTTCTATTTAACGAGTAAGGTGGACAATTTTCAGCTCTCTAAAATTGGGATATTATATAAGTTGGCAGTTTTACAAATTCTTTTGGAAGACATCATTGCAGTTTGAAAAAGTTGAAAATCCGGTTTTCTCCCTAATTCTTTTAAATATAAGTTTTTCCCAAGAAGTTTACCTCTTTTTAACATAAGAATATAAAACTACAATCCTGTAGTTCAAATTGTATTAAAATCTAATGACGGAAAATATATAGACGCATAAATTGAATTTACTTATTAATCACAAGCTTGTTGGTCAGGAAAATTTGGTTTAAGTTTTAAATTATGTTCTGTGGTTTCAACAAAATAATGGTTTAATTGTGTGTTGTTTTAACACGATCAAAACGGTTGTTACACATTCACTGTAAATATGGACATAAGTTGCGGACATGCAAACATAGCATAAATGGTGCGAATCAAATGGACGACAGTACCATAATCAGCATTTGTGATATGATTCGGATATAAGTTTAGTCAAAAATATTTGTCTATGTTCATTTCAGTGGAGAGAAGTCACTGTTACATTTCTTTCAGCTACATATCTAAAAACTCCTGTTTGAGGAAATAAAATTTAAAAATTGTGGAATGGCATATCATCGTTCTACAAGATCTGTTAGTAACTAAGTAAAGGGACAATTTTGTGTTGTCTTCGTGAACAAAGAAATATTAATAGTTTTCAAAAATCAATCTCGGATAAACTTTCTTCACGGTACTCGAAAAATTATAGTAAATACTGTGTTGAACTACCAAATATCTATGATTTAAAGCGTTAAATAGAATAAGACAACACGGTTTGACGTCAAATTTGGGCAACGGTTTGACATTTTCCTGGAGGTTTGTTTTACAAAACCTTTATCTCGAACAAGTCATGAAGAATCTTATGCACACTCTGGTAATTAAATAAGAATGGTAATTGCTTTAATTTATATACTACTGGTGCTACTACTACTACTACTAGGTGTACATTAACTGTTATCCATGGCACCAATGAATTTTGAAAAATATGTTGTATTCGGTTACTAAACACTGGACTTTCACCATGTGGAGCATCATGGCAAAAATTCGTAGTCTTATTCGCATATGTATATCCATGTAACGTTCTCTATAAATCATTTAAAAGCCTTCACTTTCTCAAACACAGTTTAGGTCAGTAGTAATTGTATGCTGTTATCCTGGATCCTCAAAATTTTTTTTCAATGTTTCTCTTTTCACTTTTTCTCAAGTAGACGAGGGCTGATTCCATTAAAGTTGAAAAAATAGTAAATTCATGAGATGCTTCCATGATACCCATAGAGGTATTTTAGCCATATTATATAAATATAACTATTTTAATGCTTGCTGCTACTGAATTAAGCCTTTGTCACAAATTTGTTAAGGAATTTTTTTTAATCAGGTTCAGTTTTACTTAAGATAAGTTGTTCACGCCTACCGAAAGGCAGCATAGTAAATTAAAATGTTTATTGTCCAAAGTTTCCAGTTTGCCAATACAGTACCTTCAAATCCATGGTCGCGCTCTTACAATCTTAACATGCTCTGCCTCTAGCACGTTCAAAATTCACATGGACTACCATGAAGTATTCAAACAATATACAAAGACGGAAAATCTTTTTATGCTTTTAGTTATTGCTGTTACTTTAACTTGTGTGATGAAAACTTTATTTTACGATTCCCCTTTTGAGTCTGTGACACCTTTCTCGTTCCCGTGCCCTTTTTAAAATAGTGTGTAGTCTTTCTGGTCTTGTACCAGATGAGGGAATATAAGTTAGTGGTTCTTGGTAGTGGAGGCGTTGGAAAGAGTGCACTGACTGTGCAATTTGTGCAGGGCATATTTGTGGAAAAGTATGATCCGACAATCGAGGATAGCTATCGGAAAAAGGTGGAAGTCGACAATGAACATTGCATTCTTGAAATTTTGGATACTGCTGGTACCGTAAGTGGTGAATCAAGCAACCGAACTTGTAGGAACAATTTACAGCAATGAGGGATTTGTATATGAAAAATGGTCAAGGTTTTATTTTGACGTATTCGATAACTTCTCCCCCAAGTCTATTTGACCTTATCGATCTTCGTGAACATATAATTCGCGTCAAGGACACCGAGAACATCCCAATCGTTCTTGTGGGAAACAAATGTGACCTAGAAGACGAAAGAGCAGTTGGGAAAGAAGAGGGGCAGAAACTTGCTCGACAGTGGAACTGTACCTTCATGGAAACGAGTGCGAAATCCAAAATTAATGTTTCTGAGGTTTGTACTTTTTATAATTACCATCACTGTAATGATTTAACATATATAATGAAATTTCCATCTGAACGACTGATGCGGTGGGTTATTTAACAATTCCTTCTTACATTCCTATAGTAGTCCTAATTTATTACACATAATAAATGAGACTTTGGGGTGGTATTATTGAGTTGTGCATTCACAGGACTTCGAAACGACCACATAAAATTGAGATAAGTCTCATTCTAAAGTACACGTAATGTACTTGAATCATTGTCTTGCTGCATATGGGAACCTTTTACTAAATCTCTGGTTAAAAATAAATCTACCATCTTTGTTTTCGTACTTATTCTTTTGACTGTTTCTCGCTTGTAATTAATGTAGGTTTGAATGTTTTTTTGCATTTAATTTTTTTTCGCAAGGCTGCTAATTTATTCCTTATTTTAGATCTTCTACGATTTAGTGCGCCAAATAAACAAAGAGACCCCCCAAGTAAAAGGTAAATCGAAAGGTCAGCGATCTAGGAAAACATGTGACCTATTCTAAATGCCTACGCTTCTCCGCGCCAATATTTCCATTCACTGCCATCAACCGGATTCCTTGCTTTCATTTAAGCCCTCTGACGGATGCATATTTTGGTGGTCTGAACCTTTGATATTAATCAATGATGCGTGTGATTTTATAATATAGTCAAAATATGGCCTTTCGAGAAAGACCCAATTTTTTCACTGCAAAAGTGCGTTGGTTTTTCTGACTTTATGAGTGCTGCTTCTGATCAAGATAATGATGCCTTTTGCTGAAAAGGTCGTACAAAAACCAAGTTTGTAGAATTGATCGAATAGGGGCTTGATGCGTCGCAAATCGACATACTCCGTTGTATCCACCACCTCACGGCGCATCGCATGTAGTTAGCTATAAATAAACTGGTAGTGCACTTCTTACGCTGGCATCTATTTGCTTATTTCATTCCTAAAATAGTATATTTCAGTCCAGGAAACTACCCGTTTGTCCGTGTTTTTTTTCTGCAACTTCGAATATGACGAATATTCATGGACGGTAGCTGCAAACAAATTCATTCGCTTAGCACCCAAGTCTTTCGTTAGGTCTTGTAGTGAGTACTGTTACACCGCTAGACTCCGTCTTTTTCGTTACTCACCAATTTCAACTTCACTTTTAATTTGCATTCTCTAACAGGCGCCTAAATTCAGCGGAGATTTTAAGTTATTAAAATTTTCAAATTCACGCTTGCGTGCTTTTATGCTTTTGTCGATGGTGTCCAAACAAAATCCGATTTGCAATAAGGAAGTACAACCTAACCCAGGCTACCTCCATGTGTAGTCGTCTTGAGGGAACTTCCTCAGGCAATTCACCCACGGACCGCATTACGTTCCCTTATTTAGCCGTAAAAGCTGAACTTTTTTAAATCTATGTACATACACTAAGGCAATTATAACTAACTGATAGGAATATCATGTTACCTTATATTAAATCCATGTATAAATACATGGGAATGTATGCCATCTATCACAGCTTGAATCACAAACCCACAAAGTTAATTTACATTAACTTGAAACAGGTGGGGTGGGTTAGGTTCAGTCCACCGATTTTATGAATTAATGGGTTACCGGTGAGCTGAATTTGCACACAAAACTGATTGTATTATTAAAGCCCTCGGTTTAGGTGAATCTGGAATTGTGTTGACATTTTAACACGTGCATTACCTATACAGTGGTCCTTTCTTAAGAATTTTTCTCCACTATAAATAATTGTATTTTATGAATGGAGAATATCAAGCAGTGTCTAATTTGTCACCTTTCAGAGAAATTAAACTAACTGGTGGACAAAGTGGTCTGTTTTCTGGCTTACCGCAAAGCTAGGTCACAGACTTCATACTTTCACCTTGAGACTATAGTCAAACTACTTGGCACTGCATTCTTCTTGCGAATGTCCTCTGTAGTGCGTCAAAACAGCGCACCTGAGTGGGTCTTTTAGCACGACACTTCCCTTTTCAGTAGTGTTCATATCGAAATTATGAGTTATGCGAAGAAAAGGTGCAGCGTAGATTTACTATTCCAAGTATTCTACCACAACTTGCATTGTTCATTTCAAGTCATCCACGTTTTGAAGGGCTTCATGGCTATCTGTCGTGGCCGGTCGCGTCAGACCACTTTGATGGTGTGGCACGGTTGGTCCTGGCAACCCTGGACCGAGGTCACGACATGCGTCTTTGTTGCCCTTGACAACATCGTTCCCCTACACCCGTTAAATCAACCTTTGCGAATTAAACTAGTCGACTGACAACGCTCCTGCCTGCAAACATCTCACTTACTAATCAGGACCGAGGAAAAGTATTCTTGCGCGTCTCCGAAGTGCCCAGACCGCAAGAACACCGAAACACAACATAGTAAACACTTAAACAAAACACACAGCAGACATAGGCATGGAGCTGCATGATGCATTGCCTACGGGGGCTGTTTATGCGTTCAGTTGTGCTCCGAGCGGGCTCGCGTCGTGTTAGCTTCCTCATTACTCGAAATCCTTAATCAGTAAGTGTGAAGTAACGTGTGCCGATCAAAAATTTCATTCAAGGTCCTCAATTGGCATTGTTTATCATTTGACGATTTAGCTTATTGTCTCGGCTGCAACACTTTAACCGATTCTGTCTCTATATTTCGATTGATGGCTACCAATTTCGGGAAGCAGAGCCTAAGACTGCGCTCAGAGTAAGGGAAGTCTTGCCCGCTCCTTCTCACACATAACCTTGCTCGCTCTGCCTATGCAATTATTGATTGCAGCACAGGCCGTCTGTTTTGATTGGTCCAACCCAAGCGGAAGTTAACGCTAACGACGCACTGGAATTAAATTCGTTAAATAAATGCCACGTAAAAGGCTTTCTAACTTTTTTTGCAGTTTTTCAAGGTTATTGATTTTAAGATTGTGTGTACCTACAAGGTTGGTTGTCTGTTATAGCTTATTAGATTGGTATTGATGTCAGGCTGTATATGCAGCTTGAATCTGCGCAATAGTTCGAAATTGTGATTGCAAGACGAGTGGATGAAATCTAAATAACGTACTTATTTAGATAAAGTAGGGTTGCTTTCACATTGCGATTTTTCAGCTTTTTGGTGAAATCTCAAGAGGTGATCTGACTTTCTCGATGGGGCGTTCTCCCTCCAAAACCACTTTTCTTCCTTAATTTCCTCCATCTTCCGGAAGTACCTAGATGTGTATTCTAGCCAGTACTATTAGAAGATACCTGGGGAATTTTCAGGAAACTGGAGATGAAATCTATGTGAGACATCCATGAGGCAAAAAGCGGTAGGTGAATGAAGTTAGAGACATTCGGAGTTGACTTTAGCCTGACTGTCTTACTCTCGTCCTGAATGAACTGAGCCAAAGTGGCCCCTAATTACCCTACAGTACTCTTCGCTCATCTTCACTTCTCTTTTTTTGTTAACGATAAAATGGGTACTGAGATTCCAGGATAAAAAGTTCAGTAAGTGATTTCCACTATTTTGAAGATGTAAGTCCGTGTACCACAAATGAGCTTTTGCTGCCTCAACCATCCGGCATTTTATGAGCTTATTTTAATGGATATATTATTGAATTATTTGAGTCTCCAAAGTACCTTTCTTGTATACATTTTGCGGAACGTGCTATCTACTAACTTACGCCTAATTATCTCTGCTACATTGAGTTGCGTTGTGTTCCAACTGAAGGCCTGCTATCAGCTCCTTGGATGGACATTATAAAGTAGAAAATCATGGTTATCTTCTATACTCACAAGGTCGCATCTTTTTATTGGACGTTTCAGGGCTGGTGCTAAATTAGCAAGTTAGATGTGGAAATCTGTTCTGCAGTTGTTTGAATTTCTGCGGCAAATCCAATCCAACACATCTGATTTCAAGGTCAGTTTCAGCTGGGGTTTCAGGCCTCTTTTCCTGCATCCAGGCTACGCTTAGTTGAGCACAAAGTAGTCCAACCAACGTGACCCGATGACCGTACACACTCAAGCACACACACACACCCACACATACACACTGAGGCGTTCTGACTAGCCAGGTTACTGGGTGGATTCTTGCACTTGCATTGCTGGTCGACACAGGCTTTTATCTTCGGCTGCGGATTATATCGGGCTTCCTGCCTGAGGCTCCTTGAGGTGGATTGATTTAACTAAACGCACTACAAGACGCCACCCACACTTGCTGCTCTAACTCCATTTCTGAACCGCAGGTGTCGTTCCTTTACATGTTGGCATTTGATTGGATGGCTTAGGTTGTCGTTATTTTACTCATGAAATATTACAAACACAACGCTGTCACAGAAAACAGATAAGTTTTTTTAACGGAGAAATAATGAATAAAACGATAAACGTCAGACGCGTATATCATGCAAAATTAAATTAGTACAATCAAATGTGGGTGGGATCAGTAGAGAACTATTACTGTAGATCTGTGAGAATCTCAATTAAAACAAACGCTATTCTTTGTACAAGTTTGCACAAGTACAATCTCGAATCCTCTTCCAGAGTCACCAACACCATTTTCTGACTCGGTGATGGTACTGGTAATATCTATTTTAAATTTGTTTTACAATTTGGAGAGAGTTTACTGCGATTATGGATAGAAATTGGTATTTTAATAGGTAGAGCTTTTCAGCCAATTAATGCTTCCTAATTTGTTTTTCAAAAGGCTTAAATGAAACGTTGAATTTAGGATAAAATTCACACCTCGATCCACTCAGTCAGTACTCAGTAAAGCTGTCATACAGGATTGCACTTGGTGGGGATTTGGGTTAAGGGCACACTGGCTGCATCAAAAATACCGATAATTATACTCATGTCAGAACTCCGCTAAGGTTATAATTCAGCGCATGCATCTCACCTCGAAGCTTCCATCAACGTGTGCTGATCTTAAAATAAATTGCGATGATGGAAGCAGAGGCTGACGTCAGGTGTGCACTTGCGTTCCTTTGAGAATGACTGCGCCCTCTTTAGGTCTTTGGTGATGCTGTGTGCCTGATGTTTTGGATTAAGGAGCCACAGACTTTGCCTCAGTTGATTGGGGATTCCCCTTTTTTCCTCCAAGGTCTCGGCCGACATAACCTACCGAAGT